AAATTGGCATTAATATTTTATGCAGTAGTATTTGGAACTGTCCATTTTGGGAATAGGGTTGACCCCACCGCAAGCACAGTAAACAGAAATTCCAAGGTGAATAATATGTACTATAGTTTGTTGGCTCGACATGCAAGACTCCATAATTTTAGCTATAAATTCATAGTAATATTAAATTATTTTTTTTATAAAGAATTCATTGATGTATTTGACATGAGACGTAGCGACACTCATGTATTTTATAATAATGTACAATTTCAATGCCTTAAATCTGTTGCATTAAACAAATTCTTTGATTTGATGTTGTCATATTGTGACTCAATTTGTGTCTAGTCTTCCAAATGTTCTATTGCGAATACATATAGTGTCAGCGCTCATGATCGCCATATCTATGAATGGATGAAAATATCATCATTAATAAACTTACCTGAGCTCAATATGTGTTCTGAAGACAAATCGCTGTAAAGCATCTTGCACGGCTTCGTTCACGTTCACCCTCAAATGTACGAAAGGAAAATCTGCAACTGTGCGTGTTCAATGTTCGTTTGCATTTTTGTGACAGGCGGTCGTTATTTTCATTAAGATTCCACAAATTCATAAATCACAACTGATGTAGCTGCCTTGGTTAACTTGAGTCAGGATATAACTAATTACAAACTCTGTTCTAATTATGCTAATCGAGGAAGTGCATTATACTGGATGACAAACTTAGTAATCCTTTAACACTAATCCTTGTTTACAATGAACGCATGTCAAATGACTAAATAAACATCCTTTTTTATTTTCTTAAGTAGAAGTATCACAATTGGCGGTGAACACAACTGTTTGTAGAATGATAGTTTCAGAAAGGAATACAAATACAAATATACAGAAAGGGGTTTAAAATGGTTTCTTTCTTTGCATCCACGCATTGTTGTTGTGGATGCGGTTATTTGCTGTCGGAATTGTTTTGGCAATTCAATTAGTTAATTACATGTCACATGACAACTGCATGTCACGGGGGCCTGGACATAAACACTTGAACACTTAGATTTTGACGTTGTCATCTTGATCATCAGAACCATCAAAGGCGGCAAAATACAGTAAGCAACTTTTCTCCCACTTTTCAATTCAGATGTAGACAAGTACAACACGTTTAGTAATGATTTAAAAAATTGTACGAGTTTCTTAGTGTCAATAATTAGTAGAACAGACGTAAACCAGACATACGAATGGACACGTTATAGACAACAATCCTATATATTTTAGTAACAATGATTAGTTGGAGTGACCAGTATATATTTGCAAAAAATAGATTTATAAAAGTTCAGCTTATTAATACAATACACCCATCAAATAGGGCTGCATGTGTCAGGGACCCAATCTAGATAGCGCCAACATCTAGAACCGCTGCGCCGGAAGTAGGTAACGTTTCTAGCTCTTACGTCGAGTAAAACCAGAAATGATTCGCGTGATACATATATGATGTACATATATGTGAACAGCCTCTCGTTATTAATGCCCTTTAATTGTAGTCATCTTACTATTTGATCGTTTGTGCCACACAAAGCTATAAGTTCCGTAATAAAAATACGGAAAAATGAACAGATTAATCTCATGGACATATATTCAAAAATGGTAGCATAACGAATGAAGTAATGTTTTAATTTCCGTTCCCATAATACTGTTTAGATGAAACACCATTAGCAACTTGAATGGGAATAAACAGTGGTAGCTGTCACTAGCCAAAGGATACTAGACTATACAAAAACAGTTTTAGCATCTCACACCGTCCCGACAGGCGCCAACCTCTCAAATATTGCACAACATATATTGATGGCGTAGTAATATATTAATATTACATTGTTTCTTGAATACTGTGCGAAGAATATTTTGTACGATGGAAAGATTCAAAACAAGTATCATTATCTTCTTTGCGAGGAATTTAGAAGTTGGAGTATTGAGAGAGGATAAGATCTGTGGATGAACAACATCACTTGCTTGATAATGGTGTTACAACATACACCTAAGCGTCGCTCCTAACTGTAATAAAGACGTTGTTCATCAATATATCTTATCTCTACTCAGTTTTCATTATCGCTAAAATGTAAATATATCTAGATTTATAGACGGGATAATGCATAGATAATATTCCAACAGTCAGATTAACCAGATTAAACAGATTCCTCTACGCTGGGCAAACACTGGTCTATGTAGAATCATATCGTTATCTGGGACTACGGGTTGACGAGCATCTAGATATGTGAAACTGTGAAAGAGTTGTACAATTCTGCCAGCCATGCTTTGTCTTATTCTGTTGGGTGTATGTCTTATGATGTTTTTTATGAAACTGTATGAAAGTCTTGTTGAGCCGGTAATGATCTATGGCTCTGGTATATGAGGATAAAACATTAATCTAATCCACAATAGAGCCCGTAATTATTTCTTGGTGTTAGTAACGGTACCTCCAGTATAGCCACTAATGGAGACATGGGTCTCTTCTCCCCGTTTGTTACATTACATGCTAATGTTTTTAGACTACCCCAAGATTAATAACAGTACTTGTAACGCTTTGATGAAGAAAATGGTTACTATGTAAAAGTTCATGGAGTACTAAAGTTGTTAAAATTGCCTGTAATCTTAATATTTATGATGTTATGAATATTATGACTGCTCCAATGTCCCGAAAGAAGAAAATTGCCCATATTAAAAACGTTCTCGTAAACAAAGATGAACTGAGCTGGAGAACAGAGCTTTGGAACGATAAACATAACGTTAAGGGCAATACATTAAGAACTTTCATGATCGTAACGTTGTTGCTCCTTATGTTTTAAATACAGGGACCACCGTCGCTTTTTAGCTAGTTTTAGATCTGGATCGAAACAGGACGATTTACAACCCCCCAAACCTTTTAGAAAATAGAATTTGCCCGCACTGTTTTAAAATTGTTCATTAAAGTTTGTCGAAAATGAATTTCACTTTATTAAATGTTATGTCCTTTATGATCTTAGAAGTATTTTACTTAGATAATGGTCATCTCTTTTGAAACACGTGACGCATTCATAAAATAACTTCCTCTGTAAGGTTCACACCCAATTGTCAGACATCCCATTTGGCAGGTGACCGAATCATCAGACAGACCAGTCAAGTGTGACCAGTGTATTCGCCTGGTCTAAACTACTAATTACTGTGCTGCTCTCGACTGTGGGCAGAGTAAGCTATTCACCACTCGTTAAGTGATACAGATTAACCAGATTCCTCTACGCTGGGCAAACACTGGTCTATGTAGAACCATATCGTTATCTGGGACTACGGGTTGACGAGAATCTAGATATGTGAAACTGTGAAAGAGTTGTACAATTCTGCCAGCCATGCTTTGTCTTATTCTGTTGGGTGTATGTCTTATGATGTTTTTTATGAAACTGTATGAAAGTCTTGTTGAGCCGGTAATGTTCTATGGCTCTGGTATATGAGGATAAAACGTTAATCTAATCCACAATAGAGCCGGTAAATTATTTCTTGGTGTTAGTAACGGTACCTCCAGTATAGCCACTAATGGAGACATGGGTCTCTCCTCCCCGTTTGTTACATTACATGCTAATGTTTTTAGACTACCCCAAGATTAATAACAGTACTTGTAACGCTTTGATGAAGAAAATGGTTACTATGTAAAAGTTCATGGAGTACTAAAGTTGTTAAAATTGCCTGTAATCTTAATATTTATGATGTTATGAATATTATGACTGCTCCAATGTCCCGAAAGAAGAAAATTGCCCATATTAAAAACGTTCTCGTAAACAAAGATGAACTGAGCTGGAGAACAGAGCTTTGGAACGATAAACATCAATGTTTAAAACTACTTTCAACTACTTGTTGCTGGCGTACGCATTTTATATTGATCAAACTGTTATTAAGATCTGTAAAACATAACCAAATACAAATTATTTCATAACATCATATAGTTGTCATAATGAAAATAGTATTAAAGCATTATTGTCACATGCAATAATTATACTGTTCGGTATCATTAGTAAACTTTGCAACCACATATTATGTGAAACATTCTATAAGAGGTGATGAAATTGAATGAAGCAGTGGTAAAATCTAACCATATATACAAAATTGTATATTTTGGAAATACCAACTATACAAAATTGTATATTTTGGAAATATCAAATATACAAAATTGTATATTTTGTATATATGGGTATTTTTTCTTGTGCGCGATGACGTTGTTGACGAGATTGTCTTTCAGAGCCTGAACAAGTGCTGACCACCTCGCACGGCATCAACCATGGTCACTCGAACTTGTGCGTTAGCCATTTTGGACATAGATAACTTACTTACTTTGGAGATTTAACGTGCGCTTTCCGACTGATTCGTATTTCGCACACGGGCCCGGCCAGGCCATTTAATGTGTTTCCGAAAGGGGCGAAGGTGGTGTGTGCAACCCAAGAGGGGGCTTTAGGGGTTGCTTATATAGAATTTGGGAATTTTGAGATTTTGAATAGATGCCGATTGGGTTGGGGATGAGAATTAAGCTTATTTCTGGGATTTTGAGGGATAGTTTAGCTGCTTCATATTACCGTTTATTCCTACGTGGGCGGGTATCCACAAGAATGTTTTTTGTTTGCCTGCCTTAGTTAGGTCGTTGGAGCTTTTAAGTATTTGATTTATTAATTTAGGTCGGTTTTGGGTATTTTTGTTTTGGAGGGCTTGCAGTCCACTTAGGGAGTCGGTAAGTATTAGGATTTTTTTGGTGGTTTTTGGATTCTTGATTATGGAGGGCTGAGGCCATGCCCATTAGTTCTGCCGTGAATATTGATTGGTTGTTTGGGAGTCGGGCGCTAATCTAAACTACGGTAATCCGGTGTTTTTATAGCAATTACTCATTTTTCGCTTTCGTAGGACAAATACCCCAACTTGGGTTTTCGCTTTACTGATACTAGGGAAAATTGGATTTTCGCTAACCCGGCACGACACCATGTCCCCAACAGTTCTATCTATGAAATGTTACCTACCTTTGAATTATTCCACTTCATATGCAGCCTGTAGCCGGGTAGAATGTCCTGGCGTTTGTTGATGTCGTCAACGGCCATCATGGCTGCCGGCAGTTGGGCCAGCCCGCCTGCGTACTGCCCTTCCATTGGGAACAGTCCGAAAAGATGGATGTCGATCGTGCAATGAACGTGTATTGCCATGGAAACAACGACAAACATGATCTTCATCATGACTGACGTTGACGTTGATTTCAATTGTCCAGAGTAATAATGATCCACTCCTTTGGTGGTGATCGTGAAGCTTTGCTCTGTTTCTGTGACAACGAACATTGTTGTCAAGCTATTGGTTCAACACGGAAACTTAGCAAACAACAACGGATGCAAAACATTTGTCTCCGCGGAAGGAATTATTGATTGTGGAAGTACTGATATCATACAGTGAACAGTTGTGCATTGTCTCGCGGTTTGGCAAAATTGACCTTAAGAAACGCCAACCTTTGGAAAAAAAAAAAAAACCATCAAAACCCCCACACCCTACTGAGGTTATGTTTTGATATGCAAATGCAAACACCACTGAGGTTAGGAATTATACATTCCGTGATATATTTCTAAATTGTTTGCCTGAAAATCATTGAAACAATGTTCTAGCTATATCACAGCGGGTTGTAACTGACCGAGCTTGGACCAGATAAACCGATGACTGAAAACAACGCAATCGGGGCACAATGACAAGCAATCGGGGCGTAATGACAAGCAATCAGCAAAGCCACCGAGTCTCACCATCCGATGATGTGTGGTCCCCTCTCGTGAGTCGAGGTGAAGTGGGGTTTAACGTCGCGGGCAAGATTGTTGCACTTCAATAGCGATGTGCATGGACGTGTGTGTGGTTGCTTGTACTAGTCCGGACTAATGCCGATTTCATAGTGCTAGTCCACTGAGATACCCAACCGCACTCAGATACAGTATACTGACTCCGAGACGACCAGTCCTTTGCTAACCCCCGACCTTCCGCTGTCCGGGAGGACGCTCTACCACTACACCAAACATTCGAAACAATATCTTATTGAGCTTTGACACTATCATAAAGACTTCTGAATTAATAAAAACGACACATCATTTAACAATATAGTGAAGGCTTAAACTTAAACTTATCATTCTGCATACGGAGACGATAGAGTCAAGACACTACAGAAAAAAAAATCTGCTGAAAATATACACCTTTTCTGCCACAAATAGAAAAAAATAATAAAAGTATGTAGGTAACCAAAAAATGCATCAACAAAGATAATGACAAGGGAAAGTCATGTGCCCAAAAATCATCATCTTTGTATTGAAGACGGAAACGGAGAAATATATCTTTTGGTCCCATCTGTAATATTAATTTATTTGTTAGAAATGTTAATATTGATGTTTGGAGATCATTTTTGAATCAGACATGGTAACCGGATACACAGGTAAATTAGACAAGACAAATGTTATGTTTAGAATGGCAGGGCGTTTATGCAGACAAGAAATACTGTTTTATGAAGACACACCAACGTCGACCAGTGAACCAGAATACACATATACATATTTAGGAATCTTATTTCCCTCTAATTTCACAATGATTAATTGTGTTTTATCACTTGTCACTAAGAGGTAAAAGAGCCATGGTGGAAAAAAAACCTTACAAATCTTAATAGATCCGTATGATTGACAGTTTTCTTCAAAATATCTGACACTCAAATACGACCTTTTTTGTTACATGGTGGTGAAAGTATTGTATGCATAGGACTGATGACCTAGAAAGTGTACATTTCATCACCTGTAAGATATGTTTGTTATAGGTCTGTCCCCGGACACCAAATGCTTATGTCTGGAATGCGTATGATATCCTCCTTACGTTGATGGTATGTATAAGACATTTGGATACTGGCTAACACTTGCTTGAAGATCGTATGCCCTTGAAAGTTAATAATATGCAATTATATTTTGATATGTGGCTACAAAATAACACCTCAAATATACGTCATATATTGTAGGCTTAAGTAATGTATGAATATATTTTAAGCAGATGAGATGTATCAATTCATATAAGACAGTTGAAATTTAAAGTTCTTTCAACATTGGACTTACATACTGTTGAAGATATAGTCCTTATATAAAATATAAAAGCAAGTTGGAAAAGGAAAATATCTTTCATGTATGACAGAGAGGAAATGTTATTCAATGTTGATAAGGTTAAGGCTTCGCTTATTAAGATCAAAACAAAACGAAGTTAAGATAGTTGGATATTGATGTATCCCAAGTTTATGTCCACCGTGTTATGCTTCTACAATAGAAAGTGAATACCTTTTCCTTTATAATTTACCAATTTTATTTATTAATTCATTCATTCTATGATAATTTATGAATGAAATATTTACATAATTATATTGCCAAAAGCAAGTATCTAAGCATAAACATATTTTATTTGTTCAAGTTTTGCTCCACTGCGACTTTTCTTTGAAAAAATAAGGCATGCACAAGGAGAACATTTCGTAAAGCATGATATCAATAACCACGTTTGATGGTGGTGCAATATGTTTAACATATATATCATCACGCATTAGTCTTCTCCCTACATTCTGAATAAAACACTCGACACGACAGATCTTTCCCTTGCTATTGGATAGTAAATGCACGCATGCACGCATGCACGCAGACACGCACACACCTGCATACATGGTTCTTAGACCCGTGGATAGAACAGGTACCTAACAACACATGCTGGGGGTCGAATGGTCAGGTTCGTCGACTCTGACAGCGTATTACCCTACCCCAACGGCGTGATAAGTTGCTTGTAATATCAATCACTGAATCGCTGATCAAGACTCCATAATACACAGGCCACCATAATATTGCTGGAATATTACTGAATGCGCTGTTAAACAACAAACAAACTAATAGTACTTAAATTATGCAAAATCTTTTACCTGGTTGAATAATTTTCAAAGCTTCATACTGCCCGTATCACAGATCGGTCGCTGTCAGATCGATAACTGGTTTTAACAGAAATAGAACATATTCAGTGCTTTAGTCTAGGGATATCATATATGCATTTGCATTATTTCCCATGTCGCCATGACCTGTTTTGAAACAGCAGTTGTAATGGATCTCCCTATGCTAGCAGCATTATGAACAGTAGGTTTTACAGTGCATTTCTACATCCCTTCTACAAATTACAAACATGGCTAAAACTTTGAACAATGGTTTTAGGTTTCGTTAAGACACCACCCACCATGGATTCATAAATCGGGTTTCACTGCGTTTCAATTAAACGAATAAATGATGATGTGAAATACATACCTTGTCGATATATACAATGTCATCATCCAGATGTTGTCATATTGAACATCAGGCTTGCATTTACGACAGCTTGTATGAAAGCTACATATTAAATCACCCGACTGCACTGTGTCGTTGGAAATGTTATGATGTTTGTATCGTACTAAATGAAGTTTGTTAACATATTATATACTGAACCGCAAAAAGAAACGTCGCCATGGATAGATATATGAGAAACCTTATTTGTCCAAACACTGTAAACATACTTTGAGACATATTAAAAAGATGAATCTTGGCAAAATTGATCATCAAGATTGAAATTAAAGTGTCAACTGTTCTTAAAGTGAAACACAACACTCGTCTCTGAGAAAATGGCATCACCAGTCAGTATCTCGTGTGTTCGCCATGTGCATTGAAGGCTGCCGTGCAACGTCGATACATGGAATGGATGAAGCAGTTGATGAAGACAATAGGCACTTGAGCCCACACAGGTGTTCAATGGGATTTAAATCGGGACTGAGAGCACTGCATGGTTCTGATGCCATTCTGCTGGAGGAAGTCTCTTGTGGTTCTCGCAGTGTGGGCACGGGCGTTATTATGCTGAAACTCGTGGTTGCGGCGACGTGCCAAATGAGGTATGACGTGTGGTCTCAAGACTTGATCAATGTACCAAGGTGCTGTGACAACATTGCCTCTCCCAGGACCGATGTCATGGAAGACCACAGGGCCGACCCTCTGTGCAAGACCAATTCCACCCCACACATGATGCTCTGATGCCCCACGAGCACCTCGCAACAACACACGCATCCGAATAACGTTCCCCACGGCATCGCCAGACTCTCTCTGTCATCTGTTATTGAGATTCAGTATCGGCCCTCGTCTGAGGAGCGGACTCTTCTCAACTGCTGGTGGCGCCAATGCCGGTGCTGTGTTGCCCACTGAAGACGGTCCCGGCGATGACGTGGTGTCAGAAGGGGTCCTCGGTGTGGCCTGTGACAGTGGAAGTGTCTGCTCGTCGACGCATGGTGTCCGCACTTATGTGTCGCTTGTGTGTCCCAATGGTCTGTCGAGCAGTTTCCGCGGCAGTAACAAATCGATCTTGAAGACGCTGTCTCCCTCTACGCGGTCGGTCATCTGTAGTGTTGGTGGTCTGGTACCGTTGCTGAAGCCTGTATATGGTCCTTACGTGGGATTGAAATGCTTTGACTACTTGCCGGGCGGTTTGTCCAGTTTGCATCGTCCAAAGGCTTGGTGTCGCCGATTTCTTGTCAATCTTGGCATGTGGTAGCAATTCAATAATGAATAAATGTTGTCCGATTTGGGTGGATTTTTATAGAGCAAGAATTCGGGGAATGCATGTGCATTTCAATTTGCACGGAACTTACGTGCATCGGGTTACCATGGCCGTTCCCGTGATGCGTTTGGGCGATCGTTTTTTTTGTCATCTGCTTTTTTTTATCATCACATTTCTTTTTTCCGGACAAGGTAATGTTAAATTTTAGAAAATCACCACGATATGACAACTTTTCATGGAATGTGACTTGGGGTGACGTTTCTTTTGCGGGTCAGTATATTTGCAGAGGAAGGAAACAGAATGGTAATCCGATAAACATATTTTGTCATTTAATTGAAGTACCGAGGATAGCAATACCGGGTAAGGAAGTGTCGCTCAGTATGTTTCGACAGCCTTGACCGAAATCTTGTTGTGAGCTTATATCGAAGATTTATCAGTGAATCTATTTGCAAAAGAGCGGAAAGTTCACATTATCTACCAACTATCAAACATTGATATTACGCTGGTGGGAGACAGCTGCACTGTATGCGCCTGTATCACTGAAAAAACCTTTCCAACAGGGAGCAAATTGTATGCATATATGCAGCCTACCCATTAAAGATTCGTGTGTAATACAACACTCAATGAAAAAATCGATACATCAAATAAGGTCCCGATCATCAAAGGGCTTTTGTCACGGTCAGACTGATGTTTAGAATGAATGAGTATATTAGTCAGCTGCATAGCCTGAGCACCATCCGCGGTTTTTATAATTTCAGTGTTTGACACATTACCGTAATACGAGGGATGACTGAAAGGTTCTGAGTCTGACTATGATGGACAGCGTTGTTGAGTTCATACACTTCTGCCAACGATCCTTCCTGCCAACGATCCTTTCTGCCAACGATCCTTCAGGGATTTCATCTGACGCTGGAAATAGTCCTCCTCAGCAGAAATGACGTCAACATCATTTGCATAATACTTGCCTTGCAGTTCTTTTATGCAAATTGTACGAACGGCGGGTGCTACCGGTAGGGCAGGACATACTGATCCTTTTCGGCAACACCTGGTGTCATCACTGATTTTCAGTGGTCCATTCATATAATTTCCACAGCTATTTGCCATTTATCCCAAGTGGAATCTGTTTGGGCAGAAAATCTTCTCTTGCATCTGGTGAATACTGAAGTCCCATCCACAGACAGGCATTATATCCATGGTGACAACAGGACTGTACACAGGTGAAATGCATTGGTGGAAAGCACACCTTTAGTAAGGTTCAAACGACATTCGATATTCTCACGCAATTGCCTCAGCAGATTAGCATAATATTGGTTTTTAATGGTCTGATCTTTCGGAGGTCCACCAGTAGGATTCCTTTGGAATCCCAGAAAAGCGAAGCCATCCCCTTGTCAGCTCACAGAACCGTCATTTCCTCCCCCCTCGTAGAAGGCGGTATATGTTTTCACTCCTGCGATTGTTGTTCGTAACATGAGGTGAACCCAAAGATTAACCCGGAAAATGTTAAATCAGAAATTGAGAAATTAAAAATGATATTGAAACACACAATTTTTGGTTTACTGTGAGAGGGTGAGTGAGTATGGTTTTACGCCGCTGAAACTTTCACGGCGATGAAATCCAGAAATAGGTTTCAGGTTTACAATTAACACGTCCCATTTTAATTCTGGAAACCCCAAAGTCCAGAAACTCTACGGTCTTTGCCCAGTCTCGGTTAAAGGTATTTACAAAATTAAACATGCTGTTTTCATGGGAACATACCAAGGAAGAAAAAATGAATTTTTTTTTTTTTTTAAAATCCAATATTTACACTATGTCCTGCCCATGGGCGAAGTGTGGCCCATGGGTAGGCCCATGGGCAGGCCCATGGGCGAGAATATGTTCCTTTACCCAAAACTCATGTTTTTGTTTCGCAAATACATTAAATGTAGTTATTCAAGTATCATGACACAAAATTTAACTCATATTAACTTAATTCAACTATTTTATAGCGATATTGAAATATTTCGCCCATGGGCGAGAAAAAGGTTTGGCCAATGGGCAGGCCCATGGGCGAGAATATGTTCCTTTACTCAAAACTCATGTTTTTGTTTCGCAAATACATTAAATGTAGTTTTTCAAGTATCATGACACATAATATAACTCATTTTAACTTAATTCGGCTATTTTATAGCGTTTTTGAAATATTTAGCCCATGGGCGAGAAAAGGTTTGGCCCATGTGCGAGAATATTTCCCTTTGCTCAAAACTCATGTTTTAGTGTCGCATATACATAAAGGTGTTCTTAGAAGTTTCATGTCACATAAGTTAACAAATTTTAACTTAATTCAACACTATTTTACGGCGTTATGGAAATATTTCGCTCTGGATGAAAAAGATTGGCCCATGGGCGAGAATATTTTCCTTTGCTCAAAAGTTTTGTTTCGCAAATACATAAAGGTGTGTCTACAAGCATGACACATGATTCAACTATTTTACGGCGTTATTAAAATATTTCGCCCATGTTTTCGTCAGTCCCTTTAAAGCATCAACTAACCGTGGCCAAATTATATCGTATCGTGTTAAATATACTTTATATTATATCATTACATTACTATTTAAAGATATACCTGCTGTCGGTCAATTACGATCTACCACAGCCCTTTTCCTTCTATATTCTCAACATAGTCTCTGTCAGAAGTGTTTGGCTTGTGTTGGGTCCGACTTGGCCCGTGCTGTCAAAATCGACTTTAAACACACAGATGTATCTTCAAATGGGTTTACATCTATAGATTAGTATTAAATCTACCTATGTACCACTTTATAATGTCACAGATCGCAAAACAAGGTGCTCAAGGTGAAGCCCTTTCCCCTCTACATTCTCAACATAGTCTCTATCAGAAGTGTTTGGCTTGTATCTTCAACTCTGCACAGCGAATCGCGGCGCCTTAGACGACTGGGCCACCCGTGCCCCCGACACACAAGAGACTCAGTAACATTCACGCACCATTGGGAATATCAAAGTTTATACAGCAAACTACGGTTATAAGGAATTCAAAGGGAACATTAATTGTAGATCGTAATAATTTAGTTCGCAAGACAATGGGCAATGGGCAAGCATCGTGTCCTGGAGATGATATAATCAAATTTCACACCAACCGTCAACTATGGCAAAACTCAACGATCGTCTCAATTATGCAAAGTGTCATTAATTTGACTTGGGGTGTGTTATTCATGATGCAGTGTAATATGATCTGGACAGTAAAGCAGTAGAATAACGTGCAACAAATTATTCATGATAATTTCCGTCGTTGTGTTCATGGCTATTCACAGTGACAAACATAAACAGACGGCAGACTATCGTTGTCACAACATAATATCCCCTTGTTCAGTTAGCGATATAATTTATTCATCTGGAAGATATTGGAATTCAAACCACAGTGAATTACGCTACACTTAAGTGCATTTTTACAAAATAAATCATATGAAACCCATACCTATTGCTGATGTGATCTCTGCTGTCACGTTGTCATTTCCGGTTTGGTTGTCTCAAACAAGAATCAGTCACGTAATCAGTGGCGTTGCTTTTCAGAGGCCTATTCGGGTGCTATTGTGGCCTTACAGTAATAGTGATCGCTAAGCACGCCGCAGACTCGAGTTCCATTTCATATGTGTATCTTACTCATTCCAGAGAAAAAGTGTGTCAAGGTAAACACAACAGGTTCTCAGGATTTAGATTTAAGTCCCAAAAGGAACAGAGGCTGTGTGTGTTTTGACTAAACACGTTATGCCATATAACACAAGGCGGGATCTCAATATCCCAAAATCTAAAAAAATCCCCAAAAAATTGTATTTATGTTAA